ATATTTCTACTTGCCTTGTCATTGATTTTACCAATTTTAAGTTATCGTGGTTCCTGTGATCATGGATTAAATTTTAACTGTGCAATGCAGGCCTATTCTATGCCTGTCTCTTTTTTATATGATTAACTTGTAGATTCTTTGATTCTAAATTTATTTATTATTTTAGCATACTTGAAATATTTCAGAATGGAACATATTTGATGTATAAGTGTAACTGGACATATTTGAATATATTCAACAAAGTATAAATATCATCAGGTGGTTTATTAAATCAGTATAAATTAAATATTTTAATATTCTTATTTTGAAATTAGTTTATATTCATTAAATCTTACTAAAATAATTCAAATTTCTGAATGCCCTAAACCCAGATTATCCGAAATATAACACCTTGCAAAATCAGTTTATTGTCAAATGGAGGCAAGGAAAATTATTATAATTCTGTTAACTACAGAATTTATTTAGATTGCAAACATTTAACATGCATTCACTTTTTAAAAAAATGTAGTCTCTCTGTAGTTCAGAAACATTTGATCAATCCTGCTGTCTTGGTGGTCTCAGCTGTTCTCAGGGTCTAGCCTGACAATCGTATAACAGTGATACATGCACACCCACATTTATAACAGTACAATTCATAACAACCAAATCTTGGAAGCACTGATATGTCCATCACCAGGTGAGTGAATAAATAAAATGTGGTATTTATGTACAATGTAGTATTACTCTGCATTAAGAAGAATAAACTTGAATCATTTGTAGGAAAATCGTTGCACCTTAAAGCTGTAAGCTTCACTTATGTGTATGTTGTAATGTTTCATCATACTTGAAGCTTTTTCTTCAAGCTTTTTCTTTTTTATGACTTCTGTAAACAGAGTTTTTATTCCATTTGGGCTGTATTCTAATTTCTAACTGCAGTTAGCCTTAGTTTCCTCTTTGTGTTACCTAGAAACTGTTCAATGAACATTTCATATTCTCTTAGCATTTTAAGGCTACTCTGAGTAAATCACAAATTTCCATTTTGTTCTCCATTCTGAAACCCTGTCTTCACACTCATCATTTCTACTGCTTATAAACTGTATAGATTTCTTTATCTCTGGAATTTCTGTTTGGTACTTTTTGGTGGTTTGTATCATTGGTAAATCTGTCGTTCATATTTTGAACCATTTGTTCGCTCTTTCAATTTTTTGTTTCACCCATATTCACAATGATTAGTTTGTACGTTTGTTTCACTATCTTTTCATAATATGTTCTTTGAACTTATGCAGTTTCTTTACATTTCCTTTCTTCTTTTTTTTTTTTTTTTTTTTTTTCCTTTCTTCATTTCATACAGCTCAGCCATCTGGTATTTCTTTTCTTCTCCAATGGTGTATTGCAGATTTGCTGTGAGGTATACCTTGAGACTACAATATCAAGTGAAATTGGTCAGTCAGGCAAGCTTAAATGTAGGGGATGGCTGAAGCTGGAAATGGGTCACATGTGTGGGGGCAAGGCAAGGCTAGGGTGCTTAAAGCAATCAAGCTACACCAGTCCTGAGAACACACCTTGTCTGAGACAATTCCAGTTATTAGTTGCTAGGCAACCCTATGTCACCTGATACTAACTTTGTCAAATGTATAAATAAATGCCCCTACAGTGGTTGAGCAGTTCCTTTCCTCCCATCTGGAGAGAGTGCACCACCTGACCTTAGCTTTTGTCTCTTATCTTTATTTCTAAATCCTCTTGCCATTTTTACACTGGGAACACCTACAGCTTTGCGGGACCCAGCACTGAAGTATCACATGGTTTCTCTTCTGTGAGAAACCCAACATATAAGACCAAAATAAAAAATAGATATTATGAAGTAGGGAGATCTTTTTCAAACTCAAATGGGAATAAGAGATGGACAGAGATGGGAAGGAAGGGTAGGAAAGTAGAAGAAAAAAGAGAATTAGAAAAAAATGGGGATAGTCCCTTTCCAAATGGGAAGGCAGTGAAGGATGGAAGGAGCAGGGAGGGGAGAGAAGGGAGGGGAGAAAAACAGAATTAAGATGTGTTATGTACGTGTACCAACTCCCCACAATGAATGCAGTAATTATATACTCAAATCATGTATTAATAAAGATGAAAATTTTTGTAGGATTAGAAAATCAGTGGGCTCCTCTGAGTTAATAGTTTCAGCAGGGCTCAAGGATACTTTGTACTATTACCTGAAATACAACTTCAATTTACACATCTTAGGACATGTTTGTGGCCATTCATAAAGAAGAGCTGTGCCATCAGGCAGAGGGAGTTTAGTCCTTTGGTTTTGAGAGTGAGAGGAAAGAGAAAAAAACAAAAACAAATAAGTGTGCATCCAGGTGCAAGGGATTGCCTTTTTTTTTTTTTTGTCTTTTCTTTTGAGACAGGGTCTCACTATGCAGTTCAGGCTGGCCTTGAGCTCACTTTGTAGCCCAGGCTGGTCTTGAACTTGCAATGATCCTCCTGCCTCAGCCTCCTGAGTGTTGGGATTACAGGTGTGCGCCCCCGTGCCCAGCTCTCATTGCCTCTTTACATCCCTGTCTGCTCTTTCCCTGGGCAGACATGAACCTTTGTCCTTCACTATAATAAACTGTGACCACAAGCATAACAGCTCTCTGTGAGTTTCAAGAGCTCTTTCAGAGAATTACTGAGTGGAAGGCTGATTTTGGAAACTTAGCATTGAGCATGAGTGAGAAGTCATGATGGTCCAGTGTGCACCATGTCCCTGTAACTTCTCTGTTGCCTCAGATTCCTCACAGGGGAATAGACAGCCGACATAGTTCAAATTTGTAAGAACCAAAAGACTGAGTTTTAAGCATAAAATTTTATATTTATTCAATAATTATGTGACCAGTGAGTGCTGCTTCCTTTTTCAGCGTGAAACAGTGTAGATAATTTTGCTGACCATTCTGTGCAGTTGGATGGAAAAGGTACATTGGCCTCCGTGATCGTTACTAAAAACAATAGAATGTGTCAGGTGAACACTGTGATGCTGTTGCTTTTATTTGTGAAGGACTGTTATGAAAATCTCTTTATTATCTATAGCATTCTTCAAAGGTTTCCTATCACTGTAAGGGCCAAAATCCATAATGTATTCCTAGAATGTTTCCATATCATGATTTCCAAATTAGTTTGCATTCAATTGTACAGATGAGTCCAGTGATTTCTGATCTAATTTGTGACACCATGCTCTTCTTCTACCCCTAGCTCACTGGACAGCCCTTTTAGATACTTTGACTTTGTTTTCATCTGATCCATTATTTAAAAAATGGTGCCACTTCAGGATCCAGAAATTAAGTATTGGCTTGAGTTAGAAGAACTTGAGGTAGAAGAACTCAAGGTAGAAGAACTCAAGGAAGATTGGAATTGAGAGACACAAACCTCTTTGTGTCTCTTGTACCTCAAACCTCAACAGTTTCAGCACCTTCCATGTGAGACTCTCTTAGCCTTTAGGGACCATGAGAAAGTGAGAGTCTCTCCCAAACACACGAATAGTCTTCTTGAGGATACTCACAAGTAACGCAGTCTCCCCCCACATCAACGGCTTCAGGCTAATGCAGGAAGACACATAGCTTTGGCATAAGTGGGTATACCAGCAGAAGCCTCTACAATTACTGAACTCCCTAAGACGGTGCAGCCCTTCAATCACTGACTTTATTTCTGCCTTCAGAGAAGCTCACTTGATACCTGCAGAGTACTGAAATGCAAGGGTGATTGAAAAATAACTACTTTCACACACCATGGCCCTATTTCAACCTCATACCCAGAAACTGACACATCTGAGCATACCGACAGCACCTTTGCAAAGGGTGTGGCCATCCCTGGCCCAGTTATCTGATGCCCTACCCCATTTCTACATAGGTGCAAAAGCAGTAGCAAATGCTGAGAGCAATAGTACTTCTTTCCACATGCTAGACTCTTGCTGGACACACCCGTTTTGGTACAGTGGCCCAGCCCTGCTCACCATCTCTCTGCCAGTCTCTATTTCCTTCTTGAAAATGTAACTAGCTCTCTCTCTCCACCCGCTTCATCATCTAATTTAGGGTGCAGGTACAGAGACAGCTGCTGCCAGAGGTACTGCACATGTACAGTGTCACAGCAGAAAGCTTTTCCTACCAGTCACTGTGGCCCCATCTTTGGTAACTTGGAAGATCAGTAGCAGCACTGTAGTGGATTGATAACTGGTGGTCAACTTGTAACCCCCAGCTGAACTGAGTGAGTGGTGCTGGGTGTGGAGGCCCACCTGGGGACTGTTGCCAGCAGCATGAGAGGCAGATCTGGAGAAGCAGCAGCAGGCTGTTGGGAGCTGAGAGAGGCCGTGGAGAGCTGGCTTTCCTGATGAACTTGGCTGTTTTCGTCCTCCGAGGAGCTCGGGACCTCGCTGGCACTGAGAATGGCGTCAGTTCATTTTGGAGAGCTCTGGTCCTCACTTGGAGCATCGTTTCCTGGTTCTGGAGGGGAAGATGGTGCACTGCCGGCCTCCAGGAAAAGCTTGCTGCGTTGGCTTCCCTGATGGGAACTCGGCCATCCTGATCATTGGAGGAGCTCAGGACCTCACTGTTGCCAACGATGGCTGTGGTACCTTTTGGGGAGCTCTGGTTCTTCTGAGCATCGCTTCCTGGCTCCAGTGCAGATCCCTCAGCCTGCTAGCATAGGTCCTTCTTCCTGCTGGCACAGACTTTGTAGATTCCACCACTGACCTTTGGGCCTTCGCAGCACATCCATGTAACAGGTCTGCATGAGACGTTGTCATGGGCTCTGGGCCTCCAGTTGGATTCATGGGAGGCATTGTTATGAGCTCTGGGTATTCAGCTTAACTCATATAGGACACTGTTGTGGGATCCAGGCCCTCAGCTGGATTCCTTGGTCTTAGTGTGTGGACAGATTTCCTGCACTCTTTTGTATACTGTTCTTTGGGTGACTTATGAATAATCATATAAAGTATGTGTCCTGTATTATGTTCCCCTTGCAAAATAAGCCCCAAACCAACACAAGCACTATGGCCCAGGTACAGATTTATTGGTTGTAGCCTTGTTTTATTTGGGTAGGAGGGGAAGGGAAATGTAGGAGTGTGGAGGTGATGGTAGCTGCAAGTGCCCATTATCAGGGTTAGAAATACCCATTTATAGTTTGTTCAATGTTGTTTCTGTTTCTTTCTTGCATGGTTGAATGTTATCAAATATTTTAATTTCTTGATACAATAATGTGATTTTTTACTTTAATGTAGTCACATTGTGTTATACTGAAGTAACCAAGAGAGTTCCCTGACCTTTCATCTCTTCATACCCTTGAAGTCACTGACTTCCAAAGTGCCCATAACTAAAGCCACAATTGCCCAACGACCAAACTCAAGGAAACTTCAAAACACCACCTCTCACAAAGGACCTTCACCCAGATCAATGCTCAGAGTCAGGCTCACCACATTATGAGCTTCTGGAGACTCTTCGGTCAGCTACCATAGGATGAATCCACTTCCAAAATGTCACTTTTGGTGCTCCTCATGGCAGCCTCTCTTCCTCCTTGTGGCTAGAGCCAGAGCATGAGGGTAGGACCCTGTGTTCCCATTTCTATTATTTGCATTCAGGTCCTTGACCGCTACCTCCACAAGGTATGACTGAATTGAGCAGCCTTAAAGACTGGGTACAGCTCTGCACAGGGAGAGGAAATTGAAATCACTTTTCCTCTCTTGTACTGTTTTAAAGTCGTGAACTTCTCCAAGGTCAACATGGCATGGCTTACTTTCTATTCAGCCTAAGGGACCTTGTAACAAATGTAGAGTCCTACCCTCCAGTCCCAGAGGTTCTGACTTTGGAGGCTGGAGTGACTCAGGAATCTGCATACTTTAAAAATCTCATATCCTTGAGGTAGAGGCCCACAGCTTACCATCAGAAACCCTATTGAGGTGTTCTATGCTCACAAATACTGACAGCTGCTTCTCCTCAGTACACTTGGATATTCTCTAAGTACATCTATCCAGAAAATCCTTGGGGGAGCAACAGCACCATGACTACTACATATCAGTACCTATTATTAGATCTACTTCTTCCTGATGTTATGTAATGTTTTACCATGTCTCTGCCTCACCAGATAGTAAGGTTCATAAGGCACGTTCCCTTGACTGCTTTCTTCATCAGCGTATCTCCAGTGTGTAAAACAACCATTTTACAGCTGTACTCATCCTGGAAGAGTGACTTACCCATGACTCAGTCTTCTCAATCTGTGACCTGAGACAGCCACTTCTGCTTTTTCTATAAGCAGAACTCATTGTGACTTGGATAACACACCCTGATGACACCAAATTAAAGAATTTTGGATAAAGGCAGGCTAACAGCTCCATTCCTGGGACAATGGGAAGGAATGAGGAGAAATACATCTCAGTTTAATAGCTCACAGAAGAGCTGGGATCTTTGAAATGGCAAGGCTAAAAGATGACAGGTATGGTCAAAGATAAGGAGTCATCCCATGACAGCCCCCAATGAATGTGCCTTTTCCCAGCTGTTACATGCTTCTCCATTCTTAAGACTAAGGTTCTCATCCTCCTTTGTATTCTTATTCTATGGACCTTGGTCTTTTTTCCATTCTGCCTCTTTTATATTCAGTTAAGTATAATCATACACAAAAGTTTTGGGTAACAGTTCTATTCTTTAGAAGTTTTCTCTTCAATGATTAAAAAAAAACACCTAGTTTGATTAGCTCCTTAGTTCATTCATTCACTTTTCAAATCAATAGTTTTTGATCTTCTTTGTGTTTGGAAATACAAAATCATGCAAAACAGCACTCTTCAAACCTTGTGAGATAGAAATGACAGATGCCCTGTCATCGCAGTTTTGTTCACTGTGTGTGCTGTCCAATTTGGTAACCACTACTCACATATGGCTACTGTGCCCTTGAAATGTGGCTAGTGCAACTTAGGAAGTGGAGTTCGAACTCTGTAGTCAAATTTTTTAAACAATTTATGTAGCCACACCACAAAAATTATCATGGAATTTGTAATCTCTTGGAAAGATAAGGTGTGAACATTAAAAAACATAACTTTTATTTGTATTTTAACGTGCTTAAATATAATTGTAGGTAAATATTCCCGATCTCTCAAAATAATATGTTCCCCGAACAATAAGTCATCGTAAATATCTCTTTGAACTAGTTAACCCACATTCACTTCACCTAATATAGATGTTTACATCTTCTAGATAGACTGGCTAGAGTGTAATGATACCACTTAAACATGAGCCAGCTCACTCAATGTTCTCTCCAAGAGACCATGGACTTTTTTTTTTTGTTTTGGTCACCATTATGACTGAAGCTCCTAGAACAGGACTAGGTACAAAGAAAGCACTTGTCAAGTACTTGTTAGATGAACAATTGACCCTTGGAAGGCTGTTCAGAGGTCCCTTTATAAAATGTAAAGTTTTACAAGTTTAGTACATATTCTGCTTTTGTGAATCCTTCACACTGGACTGGGAAAACAAAATTGACAAAGCTGTGCTCCAAATGCTACCAGGGCAATGTTAGCCTTTTGCCAACCAGCTTTCCTGGGGTTTTTCATTCACAGCAATATTCCAGCTACCAAGTTAAACCTTGAAATACTTATTTCCTCCATTTAAATGAACTCAGGCTTCCTTCCCTTATTTAATTAACATGATAGCAATTACTGTGTATGTGTTTGGGTGGTGAACATCAGACCATGCCTGTGTAACGATGCGCATTTAGACAGTATGCATTGATTAGGCTTTCCCAGTCTCTGGATGTATAAAGTTTCTTTCAGTATATACTTTGCAGCCATATAAAGAACTTCTGTTGAATGCTTTTCCACACAGAATGTATCTAAGAATTTTACTATCGGTTTTGTGTGACATAAAATAAGACATAATTGATGACTGAAGGCACAACCACATTCACTGCATTCATGAGGTTTCTCTCCTGTGTAAATTCTCCATGGTCTCCCGCAGGCACACATCTGGCCACTGGCTGTCCCACAAGGACAACATTCCTATTTGCTAGAAGCCCACTGATGCTTAGTGATGTCTGAGAGGCCACTGAAGGCACCTGGGTAATCACTGTGCTAACAGGGTTTATCTCCTGTAAGACGCCACCAGTACATACTGAGCTGTCACTGTCAGCAGGTTTTTCCATGGAATCTCTCTGTTTTTCCCTTGTGTGTATTTTCTTATGCTTCACCAGGCAAGACATGTATGCGAAAGCTTTCCCACAGTCATTGCAGCCATAGGGTTTCTCTCCTGTATGAGTTCTCTGATGAACAATAAGCTTTTGCTTTGTGGTGAAGGCTTTCCCACAGTCACTACACTCAAAGGGTTTCTCTCCTGTGTGAATCCTTTGATGTTTAATGAGACCCGACCTCTGTGAGCAGGATTTTCCACATTCACTGCACACAAAGGGAGTCTTCCCAGTATGAAATCTCTGATGTGCTATGAGGCAAGTCTTCTGGATAAAACCTTTCCCACATTCACTGCAAATATAAGGTTTCTCACCTGTATGAATTCGCTGATGTACAATGAGATTTCCTTTTTGAACGAAGCCCTTTCCACACTCACTGCATATATACTGTTTCTCTCCTGTATGAGTTTTCTGATGTATGTTGAGCCGTGATTTCTTGAGAAAGGCTTTGCCACATTCAGTGCATTCATAAGGTTTTTCTCCTGTATGAGTTCTGTGGTGTTCAGTAAGCATGAACTTTCTGGAGAAGGCTTTCCCACACAGACTACATCTATGTGGTTTCTCCCCAGTATGGATGATCTGGTGATCAGTGAGCCAAGACTTCTTGATAAAGGCTTTCCCACATTCACCGCATACATGACGTTTCTCTACTTTTTGAGTTTTCTTATGTTTGGGGCTACCGAAATGAGATTTAATGCTGATGAGTTTTTGACTTGCAGGAAATGGAATTTCAGTGTGAAATTTTTCACAGTTAGCAAGGAAAAAGGATTCTTCATTTCTAGGGAACTCTGCAGGAGTTTTCACTTCATAGCTTTTGCTCTGGCTAATCAAAGTTAAGTGTGACTTCATACTTTTTCCATGTAAGTTAAATATGTCACAATTTTGCCTCAACAGAAACTGAGTTTTGCTCTGTTGAACAACATTTTCAAATGTATTATGTTCATGCCACTTTTCCAACCTCTTCACCTTGCTTTCGTGTTGTAAACGCTTTGGTAGATTATCAGCAGCTTTCCAGATGTCTACAAAGAAAAGAACAATAGTTTTCCATCACCTTGACTTGTAATTAAGGCATTTTAAAAATGCTTTGATGGGAGATATTGCTTTACTGACAGCTTAGTGATAGGAGTGTAAATACAACTCTACATTCAATGTTTCTTGCACATGGGTAGAAAACAATTATATAACCAAACCATGAGTTAGTGATAGAATCAAGGTTAGGTAACTAATAATGAATACATACAGATTGGGATGCTTTCAAAATAAGGTCTTTCAAAAACATATAAAGATAATTCATTGTGAGCAGTGGAGCGGAGGTTGGGGAGCCACCTCACCCAAAGGGTTCCACGAATCCTTACTGACTGACTACTATGTAGCAGGCCTGGTGTTAGTGTCATGGGTGCAAATACATATTTCTCATATTCATGGAGCCTCCAGTTTGACAAAACCACTTAAAATAGCAGACACAGGGAAATAGCTGTAGATTCTAAAAGGTGCTTTAAAGGAGCAGTAGAGAGAGCAGTGCAGGAAATGAGGTTAAGACAGAGCTCATGGAGGGAGTCACTGTGATAGCTGGCAGGGAAGGGTGAAGAAAATGAGGAATCTGGGAATATTCTAAGTACCTGGCTTGAGTTACTAGGTAGCAGTGCCTTTAAAAACGAAAGAAAGAAAAGTACTTGAAGTACAGAGGTAGGGGAAAACACCAACACATCAAATTAAAGGTGCTTATTACACGCCCACATACAGACATGAGAAAGTCTAAGACATACATAAACCTTGAGCAAAGCCTTAACTGGTGATACCGGTTCAGAAAACTTTAGTAAATAAGCAGAACAGAAGATCACATTCAGAGAACATAATGGCTAGAAGATGATGAAGGTGTTCGGCCAAGGTTTTAGTCATTTCATCATTTAGGGTTTGGAAAATGGGAAAAGTCCATTGAGGAAAACCACATTAGCCATCCTGGCAGAGAGATAACTGACAGATGCGGGTGGCTGGAAAGACCATCCGAGAGGTGAGTCAAACTGTTCAACACTCTGTGTTTTAAGCTCACTGTGACAGACTTTCAGAGGATACCATTTCTAAAATTTACCTTTCTCCATCATCCTGTAGACCACCATCAAACCAGCTGTATCAAAGTGCTAATCTCACGTTTACTGGAAACTTCCCACAGTTGGTATACTGACCATTGGCTTAGCTATACCATCCTTCTATATTTCAATTAAAAGAGAGAATCTATGAGCTTAGGGAATATTAGAACTGGGTAGTGGAGGAGGCTCCAGAAACAAAAACTACCAACCTGGCTGTAGGAACTGTCATTTGTTTCTTCATGCTGTTCCTTTACAGCTATGAATTCTTTCCATTTCCGTTTCTCTCTTCTGATCCCTCCAGCTGCCACTCACACTATATTTTTCCATGGTTCTACAAGTATGTCAGTTAACCTCAGCTAGCGGGCCAAGTGGATCACCTTTTCTTTCTGGATCAACATCAAGCCAGCTTTATCATCAACTTTACTTGCAACAGCTGGATGTCATTTACTGCCACACAGCTGTCATCCAGAACAAGAAAAATCCTTAGCCTTATAAGAAAAGATAGAAAATATAAAATGCAAAACCTACATTACCCACCATCTACCCTCAATTAGAAACATACAATCCATAATAGTCAGCCTTGCAATAAAGTTTGTACTATCATGATAACCCAATCTACCCACATTTCCACTGCTAACGTGATACCTCCAGTGCCTCTGGTCTAACTGGTTGCTTGCTCTCTCTTAGCCTACTTTACTAACTGTTCATCTAACTGATTTCTAATTGCTCAAGGCTCTTCTATTCCTTATCTCTTTCCTTCATTCTACATGACTCTCATCAGTCCAAATTTCTATCTTCAGACCAGGCCGCTCCCTAAACAACTCAGGCACATCGGCACACAGGTAAAGTTCCACTTGGATGCTAGTAAGCACATCTAATTTACAGGCCCTCAAAACTTCCCAACCCAAATCTCCTGCTCCACAGGTCATCTCCAGAACAGCAGACAGCAATTCCACTTTTCCTGGTATTCCTGCTCAAACCTGTCAACATCAGTTTCACACCGTTTCTTTTTCTCGCTCCGTGTTGTGTCTACCTCAGTGGTGACTTCCACCTGCGCTCTGTAAACAGACTAGAATCTGACCAGCACCCACCTTTCCCATCAAGTTAACATCCAACTAACTTCTGCATCTTGGAGCTCAAGACGCCACCTTATCAAAGAGTTCAACCCTTTCCTGAAAGAGTAGCCCCATGTCTGGCACATTCTGCTCCATGATGCTACCTATGTCTCCTCTTCAAACAAAAGCTTTGAAAGCTTGTGGTCTCCTGTTTGTTCTAGCTCACTGCTGTTATCCCTCAACATATACTAGGCTACCAAATAATAATTTAAGGGAATAAATAAAAAAAGTAATCCTATATTTGGAAAACAGTGGGAAGAATTTAGGAAAGATGGAAATTTGTGTAAACAAGATGATACACTATTAAAGGAATCTGAAGGAAGTTCAGGGTCCTAGGACAGGTTAGCAGAAGTTAACATGATTAACAAAATCAGAACAGGACAGGGAAAGAGACAAAGCAAACACAACGGGGACATCAACAGTGCACTAGGAAGTTCAGAATTAGCAAAAACACAAACGAGTCACATCGAAGCAGGCATGAGTTCGGACCTGGTGTAGGCTGCACCTGAGAGTGAAGGGTGTCCAAAACATCTTTCCTAGCTAAGGATTCAACATAAAGAGCTCAATAAAACAGGTGTGCAGCTAGAGAACACTGGAGTAACACAGTAAGTCCCTCACTGTAAGTTCCATTCCAGAATTGCCTGTGAGTCACATTCATTGGTAAGCTGACACAGTGAGTCTGATACAATACACCTCTGAAAGGTCACTACTCAAAAGTTTGTAAGTTGAAGACTTACTGTATCCAGACGTGCAGGATGTAGGACATTCAGAGGTACAGGAACATCTAAACTCACAGGGGTTCTCTTGGAGAGACAATAATTTTAGCTCCTCACAGATACTACAAACTCCACGATGCTGCTTATTTTATGTGTCCTCCACTTAGAACAAAAGTTACCGGCCAGCAGCCACTAAGTTACCAAAAAATAGTTTTTGAAGGAACAAATCAAGGAGGTAATCACATGTGTGGAACTTGTATTAGGAACACTTTTAATACGTTCCACATTGAGACAGCAAGACAGACTTGGCATCAAGATGTGTAAATCACAGAAAATGAGTCTGTATCAGACGACATGAGAGAGATGTCAGTTTGGGATACTGCTCCAGGAAACAGAAGCTTAACTTATTAGGCTGAAGGAACGGTTGAAGGTAAGAACAGATGAGGAGATGTAAAACAGAGCCTTTGGAGAGACAAGATGCTCAGGAGGTACACTGCAAGACCAGGTCACCTGGCATCAGAGCTGGAACCGGTCGTATTCGATGGAGCGGGAAGGTACGGCAGTGAGAAGACAGGGAAGACTCAAAATTAGTAAAGAGAATTCAGATCCCAGAAGAGATGAAGAGGTATATTTTTCTTTGAACTCCTTCAAAGTAAAAACATCTCCTATAGAGAGAGGCAGGTGGAGGAGCTACTTTCATACCCCCAAGCCCCTTCACGGCCACCAGGCATTCTCATCTGCCTTTTCCAGCTGTTCCTCCACTCACCCGAAGGGGTTCGGCAGTGGAGTTCATCCTCCGCTGTCCATGGTTCTCCACGCAGCAACTTGGACAGGGCACCTGACTGGCTGGCTTCACACCCTGTTCAGGGGAAATGACAGAAGTCTTAGTTAGGCTCATCAAACTGGCTAAGATCGCTCTATTTTAGGACCTGTGTGGTTCACACGTACAAAGTAAAAAGCCTTTTTCTCAGAAGAGAGCACTACAAATCTACCACTCAAGGCACGAGGGGCCTTCCAGAGGCTGAGGAAGGAAAGGCCACTGACGGGGCACCCTCTGAGTGACACAGGGCGGCCGTCCTCACCCACGGACACCAGGCTGCTGTAGTTCTCCAGCATCACGTCCCGGTACAGGTCCTTCTGAGCAGGGCCCAGGAGCTGCCACTCCTCCCGGGTGAACCTCACAGCCACATCCTCCAGCGTCAGCAACACCTGAAACAGTAATCTTGCGAATGAACTGATTTACTTGTGAGGATGCGAAAGAAATGTTAGTTGTTTTTTTCTTTTGTCTGTTCTTTCCACTCTATAGGCTGCATCTACAAACCTAGTTGCTGTTGTTTAGTACACTGTGGTAGTAAAATGCTAAGAAAACATTCTGTAATTGTTTATTTTCTATTCTATTCTATTCTATTCTATTCTATTCTATTCTATTCTATTCTATCCATTCTGTTCCACTCCACTCCACTCCACTCCACTCCACTCCTCTCTACTCCATTCCATTCCGCTCCATTCTATTCTACACACACATAACATCATGGGTCACATAATGCCAGAAATACATTCTAAGACATGAGTTCTCTAAAAATTTCTATTCTATCCATTCTATTCTATTCCATTCTATCCATTCTGTTCCACTCCACTCTACTCCATTCCATTCCACTCCATTCTATTCCACACACACATAAAATCATGGGTCACATAATGCCAGAAATACATTCTAAGACATGAGTTCTTTAAAAATTTCACCTTTGGGCAAACATTATAGACTATACTTATGCAAACTAAAACAGCCACAACATCACTAGGCAATACACGCTTATGGAACCACTGTGGTACATGCGGTCCACTGTTGACTGAAACGGGGTGTGTGTGTGTGTGTGTGTGTGTGTGTGTGTGTGTGTGTGTGTGTGTGTGTGCGCCGAAAGTCTGAGCCTTCCATATTTCTGACCCCTTCCTGGAGTCTGAGTGTTTATTGGAACAGCCCACAGAACTCGGGAAAGCTTTACTTCCCAATGCCGACTCCCTTCCTAACGCCAGCTCCCTTCATTAGGAACAGTCTAATGGAGGAGATGCGTAGGGTAAAACAGGGGAGGGAGGTGAGGCTTCCATGGGATTCTCTCAGCGTCTTTACCATTGCTAATCCAGATGTTCACTGAGTGCTTTTATGGAGGCTCCGTCACACAGGCATGACGGATTCAATCACGGGCCTCTGGTGATTAAGTCAGTGTCTGGCTCCTTCGTCTTCCTGTGGGGCTGGGGTTGAAGGCTGCAATCTACTCACAGGGCTGGTTCCCCGAACAAGCAGCTTCTCTGCCTTTACAGCTTTCCAAAAATTACTTCATTAACATAAATTCGGGTTATAAATAGCAAAGACACCCCTTTCATCCATATGCTTCAGAGCTGCTTCAAGCACCAAGAACAAAAACACAAATATTATAACTACGGATACTTCTGCTGTTCTTATCACAAAAGAAATTACCACAGTTTTAGGAACTCTGGTCAGGAGCCAGAGCCAAAGACCAAAATATTTATTTCTTGTAGCATAATATGATATAGCTAGCGCTGTATGGTGGTGCCCGCCTGTAATGCCAGCACTCAGGAGGCTGAGCAGGAGGATTTCTGTGAGTTCAAGGTGAGCCTGGGCGACATCGTGAGTTCAAGGCCAGCCTGAACTGCAGAGCCAGACCATGTCTCAAAACAAAAACAAAAACACTATGATAGTGACAGTATACTGTTCAGTGGCCCAGAACTAATACTTTTAAACATTATTCTGTATTACCCATAAAATGGAAATGGTTAGTTACTCTGGACAGCAATGTGAAATGTCCATTAAATGTAAAATTAGTGGGGCTGGGGATTTAGCTCAGCGGCAAAGTGCCTGCCTGGCAAGCGCAAGGTCATGAGTTCGGTTCTCGGTACCGGAGAAAAACAAAAACAAAACAAAACAAAAAAAATGTAAAATTAGTGCATTCAGGAAGTGACTTCTCTGTAGCTACCTTCAGAAATTCTGATACATCTTCTCCAAAAGGCATTAACAAGGACGTGCATTGCTGCACAATGTGTAATAAGATTACAATAAAAAGCCAACACAAAATTATGGCACCCACACCATTTAGATAACAGCTCAGCAGGTCAAAAAGAAGAAGGAGTCTACCAAGCGTGGTGGCATATACGTGTAATCCCAGCACTCTGGAGGCTGAGTCAGGAGGACTGCCCCAAGTTCAAGGCCAGCCTAGCCTACAAAGTAAGTTTAATGTCAGCCTGAACTACATAGCAAGACTCTGTCTCAAAAAAACAAAAACCAAAAATCAAACAAAAACACACAACAAAACGAGAAGGTAGGTGGGCATGTAATAACACTTAAAAAAAATACAGGCACTGAAAGAGAAGGGAAAGAAGGGGAAATTATGTATGTATGTATACACAGCACAGCTAACATAGCTGTACTACTGTCTTCCATTGCTTTACTGAAAAGAACAATTAATGATTACTTATTTGATCAATATTGCATGTTTCTATTTGTTTTCCTGAGAAACCACTTTGAAGATATCAATACGTAATACAATAACCATTGTTAATTTCCTACAACTTTGTCTGCAACTCTGTATTGTTTGTATTGTTCTTATGCTATTTTGTAAATGGATGTCTGTTTGTTAATATGTTTTCCTTCTTTTATTTATTTATTTATTTATTTATTTATTTTTTTCTGGTACCAGGAATTGAACTCACAACCTTGCAATTGCCAGGCAGGCGCTGTGCCACTGAGCTAAATCCCCAGCCCCTCTTCTTTTTTATTTTTTTGTTTTTTTTTCTGATACTGGGAATTGAACTCACGACCTTGCGCTTGCCAGGTAGGCGCTGTGCCGCTGAGTTAAATCCCCAGCCCCTTAAAAAAAAAAAATCAGGCACTTTAAAGGGAAAAAAAAAAACAGCAAAACAATAACTTCCATTGAAAACACTGTAAAGCATACCCAGTTCTTTTAAGGGAAGGATCCTATATGCGTGTATGGGTCTTCGACTTCATCAATGATGGTTAGGTTATTTTTTTTTCTTTTTTTTTAATGTTAACTCTCTGTATTTGTTTATATATGTATTTTTATTTTTACAATGATAGATTAGCATATACAGTTATAAGAAATAATACAGAGGGCTGGGGGTATAGCTCAGTGATGAAGTGCTTTCCTACCATGTATGAGGTCCTGGGTTCAATTCCCAGAACTGAAGGAAAAAGAAGAAGAGAAGAAGAAAAAACAAAGAAAGAAAATAAATAATACAGAGAAAGCGTATCTGCCTCTGGTCTAATTTCTCCCAGTGGTAACACCTTGCCTAACTAAAGGACAATAACATAGTCAGGAAACTGGCCTTGATACAATCCTTATTCAGGTTCACTAAATAACACATACTCATGTATATGGGTTTTCAACTTTATCATACATGAATGAAGCTCCATGCTGCTATCAGCATAGTCAGTACACAGAATAGTTCTATCACAAGGGTCTTTCATGATGCCATTTTAAAAGCATAGCCATATTCCTCCAACCCATCCCACCAAAATACCTGGCTACCGCTAATCTGTGTAACTTTTGGCAGTTTAAAGCTGGGCATGGTGCGTACCAGTAATCCCAGCTACTCAGGAGGCTGAGGCATGAGGATTGCAAGCTTGAGGCTAGGCTGGACAACTTCTTGAGGCCTTATCTCAAAATAAAAATAAAAAGGGCCTGGGATAGATAGCTCAGTGGGAGAGTGTGTGCCTAGCTTGTGTGAGGCCCGAGTCTCATCCCCAGAAAAAAATTTACACAATGCATGATGCCGTTTATACAACATTCTTGAGAGTACGAGATTGCAGATACAGACTATACTTTTAAAAGTCACTATCATTTCTCCAGAAAAAAATAACATATGTGTATGCTCCTTTATCATTTTTCAGAGAAAATAGTTCTCTGCCAACCTCTAGTGGTGAAAAATGTATTTTATTTTTTCAAGTAACGCTATGAAGTGAAAGAATTTTACACAGTTAGTGTTTTCTAGTCAGTTGCAATCATTGGTCTTTGGATATTCAAAATATACCATCTTAGGGCAACACAGCAGAGTGCCTTCAAGTAGGCTGCTGTGTTCTACGGAATGAGATTTCATTCACGTGAAAAAAAATAATAGATTTGCTTTACATTTACAGATATATAAATAATGTTTTTAAAATATATAGATAGATATAGATATATGTCTAAATGCAGACAGTAACAGAAAGTAAATATTACCAACCATTTACAAAAGAGGATTAGAAAGGAATGTATAAATAGAAAATATTATTGCCATGTGCATTAGTATTGGGGTGCAATCACAGATGGCCTGTGTGGTTCCCTAGGTCCAGTCCCTGGAAGTCAGGCTACAAACTTTAACCTCTACTTCTTCTAGAGATCAGAACCATAAGCTACGGCCCAACTCCCCTCCATAGAACACGTTTTAGACTGCCAATGGCTGACGCTTGTAGGCTAACAAAGACTTTCCAATCAGACAGGACACTGAGGGGCTAGAGGTCTCCCTCCAGGACCCTGAGGCAAAGGTTACGTTCTTTGCACAAGGTCAGCTCTTCACTACCCAACAGAACAGGGGTCTGAATTTTCTATCATAAGGTAAAGGTCTAAAGCAAATCCTATAAACCCCCCAAACCCAAGCCCTTACCAAATAACAGTACCTTCAACTCTCTATATCCAAGTCTGTATTCAAACACCAGCTCAGCTATCTGCTCACTGACAACCACTTGCACAGCTTGCAATCCTTCCATTTTCCTAGGATGTTTAGGGTTTTTTCCAGGCTAAATCCCCAGGCCCAGAGGCTGAAGTCTATGTGCTTTGGTCCCCTGTATTCACTTGGTGTGTTCCACGGAGGTCTAGGAGGAATCCACAAAGAAACAGCCACAGGAAACCTTCTGCATTTACAAGAAGGCTGCTCTTCAGGACAACATCTGTATCACCTCTAGGAAGAACAAGGCAAGAAATTTTCCAAGACTAAAGTGCCATGAAATACTGGCATCTCCTGCAGGAAGTGATCTACAGTATTTTCTCAGAACCACTGCATATCACATAAGTTATAACAATTCTTTGGTGGGGTTGGCTGTCAGAGAGATCACATGCCAGCTCATGTAACCAGTCATGTATGTCCCAACATTCATAATGTACTGTAAATCCTACGAACAATCTGTTCCCTATCCTATCATACCTGATGTTCAGCTTCAAGACTGACTTAAAGGCAGGTGTGGCAGTGCACACGTATAGTCCCACCGACTCTGGAGGCTGGGGAAGGAGGACCACTTGAGCCCAGGGGTCCAAGGCCAGCCTGAGCAACACAGCAAGATTTCAATCACAGAAAGCAAAACAAATCAAAACAAAACAAAAAATAAAGATTCAGTTTCTTTCTCTGCAGATCCTGCTTTTTTGAAATTTAAACTTTTCAGGTTAACGGGAACAAAGGAAAGGAAAAACTAGAAAACAAACCCCAAGTTAGTTACCTCGGCCTGGATCATTTTCTTCTTTTTGCAGAAAATTGCTGGCTACTGGGATGCCGTCTTGGTGTCTTCTGCTCTAACACTGACACCCAAATCCTGTCAGTTCCTCCTCCTTTATAGGATTCTTTTGCTCCTGAGAAGTTAGGGCCTGTGAGTTGGAAAGAAAATTTAGTTTGAATGGTGCATTTCCTCCAGGCCGGGTACTGTCACTGCTCCTAAGCATTCACTTGAACACAATGTACCATTAACTAGCCCTGTATATAGTGCCCCAATAAATTATGTGTCTTTGGTCAAATAAGCCAGAGGTTCTGGAAGTAGTGGATGTATGCCTTTCATTTTGTAAATCATTGTGAAGGAACGTGGGAAATGAGCCCCAGTTTCAGATCTCTGTGGGTGGGGTGGGGAGTGGAATCCCAACGTATAACACACACAAATCACTGGGGGCTCAAGCGTCAACCTCAACAGGACAGCAAAACAATAAAGCTTTAAGGAAATAATATAGAAGGTCTCTCAATGTTATTAGAATACAAAAAATTATTTTAAGCAGTCCACACAGAGGAAATTATATTCTGCTGGAGGAACTTTGGAAAAGTCTGACATCATCTACTTAGATTTCAGATTACATACACTCTATGACACAGTAATTTCTCTCTGAGGTACACAGGTTAAGCTGGCATTGCCCGCCTTCCCTACAATAATGGCACATTTGAACCAGAAGACATTTATAAAAATGTTCATAGCTGCATTACGTATAACAATGAAGGCTGTATGCAACTGAGATGTAATTAACAGGAAAAACTGCTATACATTCAAATAATGGAATGAGATAGAAAAACTTGATTAATTATAAACTATACAGAAAAGCCTAGAAGTACTTGCTACAGAGAGAAGAACAGTAATTACCTTTGGTGAGAGGATGGAAAAAAGAGCAGAAAATACTACTTGAATGCTGCCAATAGTCTACTCCTTTATGTGACATGATAGCTTATATATGTATGCTTTTCTCATCACTAAACTGTACATGTTACTAAAATGTAAATTCTCAAGAAGTAACCAAAGAAATGTTTCAACAATACCCAAAACTTGTTATCTTTGAGGAGCCACAAAATTTATAAATTTGTGGAGAGACAGATCAGATGAGAAGTGATGCAAAAAAAGACCACAGGGAATTAATAGGAAATGAGTCAGGTATCGTTTTTGTCTTGAGAGGGTACTACCAACATTTTATGTCATTAACTTTCAAATCCCGGATGAATTTATAATTTTATGATCCTATCTCCAGAAGAGATGCTAACTCCAAACAATAAAGCAGGTGAACGTTATGGGTAGGTGACAAAACGGAAGTCCTCTACCATTTTATGTACCCAATTTGTTTCAGACAGTTGAGCTAATGCATTAAAAGAATAAGTATAAATCTTACAAATGAGACAGAAAATGAAGTTTATTTTCAGATATCACTATGGACCTAGAAAAAACGATTCAAGGAACAACCAATTTAAGAGAAAGTGCTCCGCAGAAACTCCCAGGTAAATTTTCCCATATTAGATAGTTGGCTACATTTGCACTGCATATACACCTAAACTCAATTCCATGCAAACACTTTCACCAGTAACGGAATTGGAAACACCATCGCTGGCTAAGACCCACCAAGACTTATTAATGAACTCCGATCTGCATCACCTGGCTAGAAGGAGACACAATCAAAGGCAAAGTCTGTTAGCAAAGCAGCAAGGGTGAATGCATGCAGGGCGTGGCAGGGAAGCAAAGTTTCCTGCGCCGTGCATTCAGCGGCGAGCGAGCGAGCGCAGCGGCTAGCAAACATTTTCTCTAAGGGACAACTGTTACACATACTCAACTTTGCAGGCCACAGGGTTTTTGTTACGACTTCACTTTTCCTCTGCGGCTCGAAAGCAACCATAGACAATAAATGACCCGATACCCTCGTGTGGTGACAGTCCTCCGGACTCCAACATCCCTGAGCCCCGAAATGAACGCCGAACAGAAACCAAACACCCCACGCACCCTAGGACTCATCTCCCCCAGTTATGAGCAGCGATCGCAAGAGTCCCCGATAGCCAGGGAACTGTCGCCGATCTCACAAACCCTTAAACACTGTACTGACACCAAAGCGATCCCGACCACAGACCTGCGAGTCGCGCACTGCCGGGTACCTCTCCAACACCTCCGCCACCTCCGCCAAGAACTCCACGGATCCACGTCACTCCGCTTCCACGGACCTCCCTCATCCTGCACTCAAAAAAAGTAACTCCCAGGAATAAAACCACTCACTAACCTGATTTCCTCCAGACCCATACGGACCTGAACGTTGCACTTCCGTGAAACGCTTGTGTACTTCTGGATGCCCCATCCAAAGTGGTAGTGGGCCTACAGCGGCCGAGAAGGACCTAAACTACTTGAAAGCATACGAATAAAACTTCCGGTTACTAGCCTTTTTAGCTAGTATGGCTGCGCCCGTTTTACTATGGCCACAAGGGGGCGGCCATGTCTGAATATTGACGTACAGAAGGCAAGGCGGTGGATTTGCGGGAATGTAGCCAGGGATGGCCAGGAAGATGAAATTGCCTCATATTCTGGCTTTCTAACACTAGCGAATACTTGGTAGATTTTCAGAGACTCAAGCTTTATCAGGTAAATATGAGGTGGTCACGTTGCGAACGCAGATAATAGTATTTCCGCAGTCTTTTCTTGTCCACTTCGTTAAAAAAACGATTGTCAAGTAGGAGCTTGACTGTCCACCCAGCAGAGAATCATACCTGGAAAGGCGATAAGTCTTATCTGGTAGTGACACTGTGTCTGAAAAAAAAAAAAATAACAGCAATGATCAAAAAAAAAAAAAAACCAAAACGAAGACAAATAAACAAAAAATCCTGAAAAATTTACAGCATCCAATGTTTAAACACTCATTAAATGGGAACTGTGCAATTTCCAGCCCTCTCACACTCATAAACAAGTCCTGGTGTCTCCCCCAAAACGCTGACTTCAATCTAAGACTTTGCACGGAAACTCCACAGTCGTTGACCTTCCTCTCTCTAGGCCAGGCTACTGCCCCTATGCGCGCCATACTAAATTGCAAACCTGCCCTAGAAAGTGTTCACTGATACACTTCTTCCTTTCGGTTTTCAATCACCTAGTTGCACAAAACCTGAGTATACAGATCCTAAACCTTGACCGTGAACCCTGTCATTAATCTCTTCAGGCCTTGCATTGTCCATAGACTGCCAAAGGCCCCGCCCATTCTTCAGGGACTGCCCCAACTAAAACTGAATACTGTTTTTATGAGATTTATGGAAAGGGCCACATTGCATGGAATATTCGGGCGTGCATTTCCCTCCATGGGTCCCATCTGTCCCTTCCTGAAGATCCACTCCTGGAATCATGTTCAAAAGATTCTGCAGATGCCCAGACTCCACAGGCAGCTGCCCAAGCTGAGCCCATGTGGAGCCCCACCTGGTTTCAGGTTCCAGTACCACAGTCCATCCCCAGTCATTGCCTGGGGTGCCGAGACAGGTACAAGGATATCCAACAAAGTCCTAGGGAGGGTTCTGAGGTACGGTCCTGGCTGTGGATGACTTGTGTGACACGACCGGTCACTTGCTACAGTCATTGTGGTGTTGCTGATGGGACAGCAAGACATCTAGGAAGGGTTATAAAATGGAAATATCTCAGGGACATCCCATTGCCTTCCCTGCTTCCTTGGAACAGATGATCACCCATGCTACTCAGAGGCCAAAGCAAGGAAGAGATACTACCCTGCCCAAGGGCCATTGCATGAGAGAACCATGGCAACCTAGGTGCCGGAAGTCTGGTATCTGCTACAGACACTCCCCATGGAACCAGTCTGAGGAAAACCTAATGAGTGAGATTTCTAGATGCTCACATGTGGACAAAAACACCAACTGTTCACAGTCTTAGGTAGGTATGAGGATGGGGAAAAGTGGGCAAATCTGATCTGGGTAGGACTGGATAGGTGGCCAGCTCTAGGAATGGAAGGAATGAGTAGATGAAGGTGTAAATATATGTACTTGCTGTCCTGTGTTATTACAACCTGGCTGCCCTTTTGGAGGATTACAGGTTGTGTCAGTAACAGCTGAGGCTGTGTAGTGAGTTTGGGGCCAGCCTGGAAGACATAGTGAGACCCGGTCTCAAAAAACAGAAACAAGAACAAAAAACAAATATAAACAGGCTAATTTTAGCAGGTAACTTCACAATTTGGGAGAGCACTTTGGAGAGCACTTAGGAGTTAGGAGTATGTACAGTACAATATTTAGAACAAAGAAATTGTCAAAGAAACTCCAACTTGATGACTTTGCTTTTATTTGCCTATTACATGCAGTCCTGTAGTGTATAACATAAAACTACAGTAGTGTACACACAGTATAATTATTAACAGTTACAGTACTGTATAATGAAGAGGTGCATCACACCAAAAAAGACATTTAGCCAGTCACTGTGGCACATGCCTGTGATTTCACCACTTGGAAGGCTGAGGTAGGAAGATTGCCATGAGGCTGCACTACAAAGTGAGATACTGTCTCAAAAAAAGGGACATTGAGGCTATATAAACAAGATGTACAGAACTGTATCAAATAAAGATAGTTTATAAGTTCAATGGGCAGATCATTAATCCAAACAGCCCGCCTCAGTCAGAAGTCTGAACAGTTGTTAAACAAGTAGGTCATTAGTCAAGGAATATCTGTATTTGACAAAACCTGTTGAATGATAGTTGTATATAAGTTACTGTGCTCATGTCTGGAATATACAGACATAATCATTTTTTTCTTGGGGGTTTAGTTTTAGGTGTAGAAAAAAGAATTAACAGGGAAGCAAAGAAATAAAGAATGTAAATAGAGTTTGTGAAATGTGGTTAAAGGAGCAACAGAGATTTAGAAGGTGGAGCAAATCAGGACACAGGCAAAGAGAAAAGCCAGAGTTCACCAGTAGTTTCCGTGGAAGGAATAGGAAGAGGGTAAATGAAAACAAAGATTTAAAGATTATTCCAAAAATTGCATGGCTTCAGCCACTGGTGAGGAAGGGAGGGGAAGCTCATGATGAAATAAGAAATATTACTGAAGTCTCAAATGAAGAGAAAATCTAGCATATAACACAAAACATGTGAAATTTCAGATGACTACTACCTTTTCATATAAAAATATTGAAAAACATCTTAACTGGAAATAGTATTGTGTATTTCATCAACATATGCAATGGTTCTAAGTGTATGAAATTGTATTTAATAATGTAAAACAAATGAAGGTATAGGCACAGGGTCTAGAATTTATTCTTTCCAACATACAGATTATTATAATCTGTTAAGACACCAATTAAACAAAACACTGACTATTGTAATAGGTGTACACATGAAGACCTGAATATAGAAAAAAGACCTAGATTAATGAGTAAAAATGTGAGATCCACTTGAAAATTGCTAACACAAGAGATTAAACATTTTCACCACCACCATCACCACCCATAAAGCACCAATCTCAATTTTTAATTTGATTATACAGTACTTGATTATACAGTACTGTAATTGTTTATGATACTAGGGATCAAACCTATAGCCTTAGATGTGCCTTACACTGAACTCCCCCTTTCTTTTCCCTCTAACCCCATTTTAGATGAGAGATTCTATGCTCAAGACTCAAACGAATGGCCTAGCTAGATAATACTCTCCTATGCTCCTAGAGAAACAATGAACAATGGTGTGCAGTGAAATGTTAGTGGCTTGGGTTATTCCATCCTTGCATAGTCCAAAGAAAGCACTGACCTTGACCAGCTCTTGAAGATAAACCCTGAGTCTTTAGAGTACAAATTTTTATAGCAGCACAATTTGTAACAGACAAATCTTGGAGGCAGCCTATGTCTCCTTCAACAGATGAGTGGATAAAGAAAATGTGGTACTTGTGCACAATGCGGTACTACTGTGCTATAAAGAAGGATAAACTCAAATTATTTGTGGGAAAATGGGTGTACCTTGAGCCCATAATGTTAAGTGAAGTAAATCAGACACAAAAACTTAAACATCGCATGGTTACTTCACATCACATTATTTCTTCATTTACCATTACGGCCTTAAGGTACCCATTTTCCCACCAATGATCTGAGTTTATCCTCCTTTGTGGTAGAATAGTACTACATTATACCATTATGCATTTATGGTATTTAGTTGGTGTCCTGTAGGCTTCACACATGTGTATGTTGACAGGCTTTTTATTCTATCCGTGTTGTCACCTAATTTCTAGCTGCAATTAGCCTTAGTTTTGTCTTTGTATTATCTAGTAGCTGTTCACTGAATTTTTCATGTTCTCTTACCATTTTTAAGGCTACTCTGAGTAAATCATGAATTTCCATTTTGTTCTTCATTTCTGAAACCCTGTCTTCACATTTATCATTTCTACTGCTTATAAATTGTATAGATTTCTTTATCTCTGGAATTTCTGTTTGGTACCTGTTGGTGGCGTATGTGTCTTTGGTAAATTTGTCACTTATATTTTGAACCATTTTGGTCAGCTCTTCTGATTTTTTGTTTCTTCCATATGCACAGCTATCAGTTTGTATGTTAGTTCCACTATCTTTTCGGTTATGTGTTCTTTGAACTTATGCAGTTTCTTTACTTTCTCTTTCATCATTTCAAAGAGCTCAGCTATTATTTCCTTCCTCCTCTATTGGTGTCCTGCAGATCTGCTTTGGGATATACCTTGAGACTACAATATCAAGTGAAATTGACTGATCAGTCAAGCAAGCTTAAATATCACAGGCTTTCTCTTATATGAGAAATGCAACATATAAAGAGAAAAATAAATAAATAGACAGTATGCAGTAGGGAGATCTTTTTTCAAGTGGAAAAGGCAATGAAATGGGCGGAGGTGGGAGGAAAGGGTGAGAAAAGGGATAAAAGAAGAGAATTGGAAAAAAATAAAAATAGACATTTTGCAAATGGGAAAGGGATAAAAAGATGGAAGGAGCAGGGAGGGCAGAGGAAGGGAGAAAAACAGAATTAAAATATATTATGTACATGCACCAACTCCCCATAAGGAAGGTAACAATTATATCCTAGAAACACATAGTAATAAAAAGAAAAATTTTTACAGGACTAAAAAATCAGTAGGCTCGTTCTCTGTTTGGGTTCATAGTTTCCACCAGGTCTCAGAGATACTGTCTAGTATCACCTGAAAGACAACTTCAGTCTACACAGTTTAGGACATGTTTCTGGCCACCCAACAAGGAGAGAGGTGTGCCATCTGGCAGGAGGAGTTTATGCTCTTTGGTTTTAAGAGTGTGAGGGAAGAGGGAAAAAAGAGAAAGAAGTGAGCTATGCATCTGGGTGCAAGGAACTGGGGGAGAGGAGAGGGAAAAATGAATTGTCTTTGGCAGGACTTACCTAGGTCATAAT